CTGGACAACTCAGAAAGAAAAAAGAAGTGTTGGGGTTTTGCAGAGATGTCAGAGGAGGTCTAAYAGTAAGCAAGGGTGGACTGCGGATGATGGTACTGTTGCTTAATAGACACCCTCAACCCTTGTGTTTTCAGGATCCTTCAAATAAGCACTTCTTGTTCTTTTTTTAGCAGTAGCTGACTTCCTCCCTTCTTCTCCATCCACTGCCTACCATGGGGGTGGAAGGTCCTTTTGTATTGCTGGACAGGGATGGTGACCAGAGGCAGCATGACCTTGCGGTAGCCAAAACCCGACAGTGGGTTATAACTTGTCTAACTAAGTTGAGACACTGGAGGCAAAGAGGAAGCAAAATGGTCGGGCAGCAGAAATTTTGTGTCATTCTCCAGAAACATGGAAAGTCCTTAGTCACAAGGTTGTCAGAAAAGGGAACCTGCTACTCTCCTACCACGATATCCTATTTTCCTCTGCRATTTTTCCTTTATATTATCTTTATTGAGATTTGGGTTAACTTTAATCAGTTGCATCAAAACAAATAAAACCCAACACACACACATGCATGTGCAAAATCTCAAAAACAGAGACGAGGTCATGGCCATCCATGGCTTTCTCCTGCTCCCCTCTATTARCACATCCTTAAGCATCACGTGTAACAAGCGGAAAATGGGTACCTATACAGTTCCCCCAATATCAGACCTGTCAACTGATGGCTCATATCTCTTTTTTCCCCCCTGGTTCTACAGTAATGAATTTAGTTACCCCCAAAGTTTCAGATCTACCCCTCTCTAAAGGGCCAAGATAAGAAAGGTTTTAWTTCAGGAACACTTGAGAACCCAGATGGCCTGGCACTGACTGTCGGGCACTCTCTGCTCTGTCAGATTACAGGTTCATATCCGGGGCTGCTTCAGCATATTGGACTGACACCATGGGCCTCTATCCTCTCCCTGGAGTCTGGTGTCATTACAGGGACACAGTTTCCATCCTCTATTSGAGATTCATGTCTTTGAGCTGATGTCCTGATGTCTAATTTTCCCCACATACAATATATTTCCATTTCTATAATTAAGCTTCTGTGTTTGAGCCCCTCATGAGTGACCATGGTGGTCATCTGCTCAAATCTCTTTCTAGAATTGAGGTCTTGTGTTTATCTTGAAGGTCTCTCCCTGCAAGGACTTCAGGCCAGTGGCAGGTTGGCTCTTGTTAGTGCCCTTCAGTAGGCCTGCATCCTGTCTCTGACCCCCGGGATGACGCTGGGGTCTAGTTATCCTCGGACAGATATCCAGGTGGGCCCCCTCACTTCTTGGGTTTTTAAGTTTCTGCTCAAATGCTTCATGATCTACTCTACACCCAACAGGGACATCAAGACCATGTTGATATTGGACTTCTGTTTGTTTTGAAAAAGCTGATTCAAGGCAACTTAAATTATACTGAAATAATGGTGTGTGAACAGAGTCTRAAGAGATGGCTATTCCCCCAGATATTCTGTCTTGAGAGTCTGCCAAAATTTCTATTACTGACAAAGGGCTTGTCCACCAGTACCTCTTTGGTAGGGGAAGARAGAGGTGCAGCTTCAGCTTGAATAATCCTGTCTTTCAAGGAATAAATGCCCCAATATGAAAGCCATCCATAATGGGACCAGTGTTTTACTCCACTTTGGCAAGAGAATAGTGCTTGGTGGTTAAGTTTAAGGACACTGGGGTTTATTTATTTTTAATTTTTTAAAAATATATTTAGTTGGACACAATACCTTTATTTTACTTATTTTTATGTAGTGCAGAAGATKGAACCCAGGGCYTCAYATGTGCTAGGCGCACGCTCTAGCTCTACCACTGAGCCACAGCCCCAGCCCTGACACTGGGGTTTAAATCCCACTTCCTCTACATTTTGGCTAAATGACCCTTTGACTTAATGTGTATCAATGTTTTTATCTGTAAATAGGTAGAGTCATAGTATCCATCTCATGGGTGTTAGGGGAGATTAAACAAAACAATAACCATCTTCTATGGAGAGTGTTGTCAGATGAGTAGGGATTGTTCCACCCATGGTTTGTTATCGCTATTATTTTTTTWAAATATTTTTTTTAGTTGTCGATGGACCTTTATTTTATTTATTTACATGTGGTGCTGAGAATCGAACCCAGTGCCTCACACATGCCAGGCAAGTGCTCTACCACTGAGCCCCAGCCCCAGCCCCTGCTATTACTATTATTGATGGGAGATAGGAGAAAGGAGCAAGGGAAGGGGTTGAGGAAGTAGATGTAAGAAGTGGGAGGAGAAAAAGAAGGATTAAGAGTGTGAGAGAGAACACAGAGAGGGAATGGACAGGGAGCAAAAGTGATGGAYTCTTCCATCTTCTACTCCCAGAGGGTGAGTGGCTAATACGTGGAGGGACAGTCAGAGTCACAGAGCTCCCAAAGTGACCATGAGAAAGTCGAGCTCAGAGCACAAGACTGTGAGTCTTGATTCTCCAAGARAACCTTTCCAGTGGGGAGCAGTCAGAGGTTCACACACTCAGACTTTCCCTGTGTCAGTGATTTCAGGGGAAAACGGGGGATTTCTACCTTCATCTCTCCACATCTTCYCAGCTGCTTCATCTGCTCTGAGTTCTAGAAAGTGCATAAAACCAGTGTGCACTCCTAAGCCCAATACCAAATATGAGGGCTCACCTCTTCTAGAGACAGCAGTGGGGGGGATTTTATGGCGTACATGTGCACTCAGGAAGATGGAAATGTTTGTGGAATAATCTTTAAGAGGCAAACGTATCCGTTCAGTCAAGGTGAATGATGTGTGAAAAAGTTTGCAGCTTTATTCTATAAAATACACACCATTCTCTATTTAAGGAGTCCCTAATGTCATGAAAATATCACCCCTGGTTCCTTTTTTCAGAACAACAGCCCACACCTAAGCTCAAACTCATTCTACTTTTCTGCATGCTCATGTTCCTTGGAYCATCCCAAACAAAGGAGTCCTGTCCGGGATCTTGGTGCAATAAATTCAAGATCCTTCCTAATAATGCATGGGAAATCCAGTGCAAGCCAGATGCAGTGGTGCATGCCTTGGGTGGGGTGTGGGGTGGGGGGCTGAAGCAGGAGGATCTCAAGTTCAAAGCCAGCCTCAGCAACTTAGCAAGGCCCTAAGCAACTCAGTGAGAACCTTTCCCCAAATAAGATATAAAACATGGCTGGGGATGTAGCTCAGAGGTAAAGTGCCCCTGGGTTTAATCCCTGGTACCACCRTCACCACCACAACAATTAAAAAAACAAAAACTGTGAAAAACCAAAAAATAGCATTAGCTAATATTTGTTAAGCATGTACTATACTTGGTTTCTATACCAAGTATTGTAAATTATTATTTTGATTCTCTGAATAATCCTACTAGTAATAGTTTCCCCATTTTGAAGGATTTGAAACAAAAGTTCAAGAGGTTGCATAACTTTTAGAGGATCAAAACTAATGGGCAAGTGCGTTGCTACTAGATGATTCAACAACTTTGACTTCAGTTTCAGGAGAAGAGAAAGTGTATCCTAGGGCAGCCTGTTATATTGCTCTTTGAAGAATGAGGATTTGAACACTTAGTGAGGAGATCAATTGGAGCAGAAAGGCCTACAGCCTTGGGTTACAAGAATCAATGTCCATTTCTACTTTTACCAATTTCGAGAAGTGGCACTTCAGGTGAATTATTTGATTTCTGAGTCTTGGTTTACTCTTCCTCTCTTTCATTACTCATAATGAAATTAATAATTTTCATCCCACCTGTTGCAGAGGTCCTAATACGGGTAAYATAAGAAGTAGGCATGATAATTGAAGAATACTTTTCAAACTAAGTGAAATGCCACCCCGTCTATTCCTTCTCTGAGAGATAAGGACATCCCTAGGTTCCACTCTGTTCCCCATCTACTTGCATAGGGTGATCAGCAGAAGCTGCAAATACTCAGCCTGCTCAGTGGGTRTAATCTCCATAAAACTCAAATTAAAGGAGCCATACCCTGGTCAAGGAAACCTGAGAGATCACAGTGCATTGATTCTGCTTTTTCACAAAGTCTTAACCCTCCAGGTTTCCTAGGTTCTCACTCATGCTAGGCATTTGCTAGTGCACATTCAGAGCTGGTAAGAATACTAGAAGTACACTTAGAAATTCCCAACATCATCAATTTTTACAYGAACAGGCAATTATTTGGATCTAGGATGATAATATGAGCAATTATAAAGCACTCTGAGGACTTTTTTTGTTAATATTACTTACTTGTTCAGTAGGTAATCTAATAACCAATATTAATTTAAGGCATAAGTAAGGAAAATAGAATTTATAACTCARGTTCTGAACCTCTGTTTTTGTTTGGAATTTACTTGCAAAGAAAYGGTGGGAGGGTCATCACCTTTCCCCCATTTATTTTAGAGTTTTTGGAGAATAGAAAGCAGACTAATAATCCTGTATGTGCTTTTAAAATGAAAGGAGCTCATGGAGAGGAATTTTTTATAGTGAGAAATCATGCAACATTCTAACCTGATAGAGCAATGAAATATCATTAGTCAGATCTTATCTCTCTCAAAAACCACATGACACATTCTAATACCAAAAAAAAAAAAACCAAATTGCTTTTAATTTGCTCAAGGTTTTGGATGACCTGTCTTTTCATTGGGTTCTGTGGGTGAGTCTACACATTGGGTTCTGTGGGTGAGTCTACACATTGGGTTCTGTGGGTGAGTCTACACAAAACGCTGCCTCTTCCCAGAAGAAGGGTTTTTCTCAGATGTTTGGAGACAGCACAGAAAAAACTCAGAAATATTAACTCTACAGTTGAGAAACAACTTAAATTGTTTTAAGATTTGAGCTTAAAGCCATCCCCCATTAGTTGGATCTCTTTTGAGTACAAGGTATACTGAAACAGAGGGTCTTCTGTTGAAAAAAGATCAAAGGGACACTTCAGTATCTTCCTGAAGAGCAATTTCTACAACTTTATGGAAAAGTAGGAATGAGGGAGGTTCACAAGGGTCAGAACTCACAGGTTTGCAGAAAAAGGAGCGAAATCCACAGGARGTGCTGGGCCATCTTCCTCTGGGCTCTAGTCTTCTGCCGACAAGAATGATGCTCTTCTACCACCGTCTGATCACTGGAGTTTAGTTGCCTCTTGCTTCTTTTTATAGCCGCGTTTAAGAGAGGAAGTGTGAGTTAACTGATTAAAGAGGTATTGGTCTCTGTAACACTGTGCTAGTGTCTTCTGATGATATAGCATATGCTGCCTAGCATTAGTGAATTATTTATTCAGCAAACATTTATGGAGTGCCTGATATGTGCCAGGTACTATTCTGGATATTCTGGATGCTGGCAATATCAAGAGCAATAAATAATGGATTGCCTTGCTTCCACAGAGTTTATACTCTTTTTTTTTTTTTTTGGAGGTGTCAAGAATTCCATAGGAAATTCTAATAAAGTGTGATAAGTGTTGCACTTGGGAGAACTACAGGGAGCTGTGAGAGCAGGAACATCTAACTCAGGCTAGGGCGATTTGGAGAAGGCTTTCTGAAGGCGCTGACAACCAAACTGAGACAGACTTGCGAATAAAATGGCATTATTAGACAAGAGAACCTAGATTAGAGGGAAGAGGAAGAATGTCTTGATACAGGATAGCAGTTTAATAAATGGTGTCAATTGATATTATATAATCATAGTTATGTAAATAAAATRGAATTACATATACATCATAACCTGAGTGTAGTATTATGTTCATATAATTGTTGTTTAGTATATCAAAGATGCACAATTTTATTAGTATATAATCAACTTATAAAATATATATTAGAATATTATATAGTGCTATGTACAATTATTAATATGTAATTAACTTATGAAATATACATTAGAATATTATATAGTGATATGTAAAACAGCTGCATATAATTATGTTATATATATTATAATTATAAAATACTATGATTATGATCATACCTTCTTAGTGACATAACATAAGTATTTAATAAAATTTAAACTTGAAATGGATTTTTAGACTATCTCATCTGTTTTGCAGATGGGAAAATTAAGGCTCAAAGGAAAGGAAGTAATTTTTCTCAAGGTCAATAAACTAATGCATTGGGATAAAACCCAGCAAATGTTATATGGTAAAGACTGAAATTCATGGGGAGGAGAGACAGAAGGTGCAGAGAGACATGCTTCAATGCATAGCAAAGTGGGGCTAGGGTGAGAGATTGCAAAGTGATAAAAATCTCCTTACAATATGTGACAATCACAGAACTTTGTGCACCCAACCCCATCCTATTAACATTCATAAAGCAAAAATTTGAAAAACAGGTAGAATTTGTCAAAATGGTCATGTTTATTTTATTCCCAAGTCACATGGCCACATGTCTTTGTCTTGATAATGATGTAGAAGGATAATAAAATCCTTTAGATCCATGGGAAGAAGAAGAAAATATGGAAAAAATGAAAAATCACACTTTTCTTGGTATGCAAAAAACCCTTGAAGGTTTAAGCTTCAGAGAGAAACGAACCCTTTGTAGATGAGCAGAACCAAGTGTTCTCCCAAACTTGGGGCAAGATACCGGGGTGGTATCCAGACCAATAAGAGAGTCCATCGTTCTAAAAGACCTTGCAAGAGAAGAATAAATTAGATGAAGCTTAGATGACAGATGCTCTGGCGAGACAGATTGGAATCTGAACGGTTCCTCAATTTCCAACAATTCTTTGTCCCCAAATCCCTATCCCACTCCAGAATTTTGCTGAGAAAGTGGCACCAAGAAGGGATTGGGAAGCAGAGACAAACTGTATAGTAGCACATATTTCATGATAATTGGATTATAAGATTTTAGTCCAAATGTAAGTAAAAAAAATAGTAAAACTGAAACCCAACTCCTTCCTGTTTCATACATCGGTACAAGATTTAAAAGTCAGTGAAGGAGTTTAGGAAGGTAGGCCAACAGCAGATCTAACTCAATTTAACTCTGAGGGGAATATTAATGACCAGCTTCTCACTCAAACTGTCACACAGAGGGAAGGACTTACATTACCAGGGAAATAAAGCAAAGCCAAGTAAACAAAACAAAACAAAAACATTRTATTTGAGTATATACTATTTCTTTCATTCCCGATTATTGGAACATAATAAAATTTGTAAGAATGATGAAAAAGAAAGAAAATATGATTCATAACCAGGAGAAAACAATCCAAYTCACCCCCACCTTTATTTTTAAATTTTGAGACAGGGTCTAGCTAAGTTGCTCAGTTTGACCTCAAACTTGCTACCCTCCTGCCTCAGTCTCCCAAGCATCTGGGGTTACAGGTGCATACTACCATGCCCAGCTATAAATTTATTTTAAGCAAATGCAAACTTATGTATAGGAACAGAGAGCAAGTCAGCAGTTCCCTGGCGGGAGGGGGGACAGGGCAAGAGGCTGAGATCACAAAGGGYACAAGAAAACTTTTGACTGTGATGAATATTTTTTATCATTATTTTTATTATGGTGATTGTTTTTTGATATATATAAATGCAAAAAAATACATATTTAAGGCAAAAGCTTTCTCCTATGCCTGTTCCCTTAAATAGAGAGCAAACTGTAGTACCTGAAACTCAATTTACACTATGTTGTTCACTTTTTCTTGTAAGCATGTAGATTTGACTGGATAACCCCAGATGTTATACTCCCAATATGAAGGTAAGATCTAAAATTATAAAAGAGAAAACATTTGCAAAGTATTCCTTAGATACAATACTCAAATCACAATTCATAAAAGAACAAATTATAATTTTTTTTAAATTAAAAAAATGGTAGTGCTGTGATTTGAACCAAAAAAAATTTATCTYAAAATATAATTTAGAAAGGAATTGGAGTTGTAGGTCAGTTTCTGAGACTATGTTAAACACTTCCACATGAGAAACTGTTGGAGGAATTAGATTTGATTAGCCTGGAAAAGAGGAAACCTGGTGAGGGGGTGGGGATTAAGGCAGGGGGACCAGTGTGATTACCACGGTCAGGTTTTGGAAATGTGGAAATTTGGAGTCCAGGTATCTCCATAAGGCAGAACAAGCATCATGGAAGTTGCATCAGGAAAGCAGGGTTCAGTTTCACATGACAGTTTCCACCCCCATAATCTCAGTCACCTCACAATGAACAGGAGAATTCAAGCCAAGACTGGATGGTCTCAGATATGGGTTTTCTGACCAGAATTTCTCATTCTGAGCTTGGATCCTGAATGTCCCCAAATAAAAGTTAGAAAATTCTGTTTCCTTATGAAATCATCCTAGGTACCCTATGGGTAGGGCCACGAGTTTAGAGGCTGTTTATCTGATAGATGGTGTTTTTCTAGCTGTCTCTAAAACACCATTAGCAGCAGCCTGTGGGTAATCTAACATGATAAATATCAGTGTGGGAGGGGGGAAATTCTGCAACAATTTTGATCTTCTCAGCATGCAAGCTGAATTGAAGGCACTAATTGCTTTTTATATCAACATGTAGAAATCTATTTTGGGGTCATAAAAATAACTTGCGTTTTTAACTGTTGATAAGAGCATGAAATGCCGGTTAAGACTCACTAGCAATTCTCTCCAGTTACTTGGAGAAAACCGTGGAAAGCAAGCTCCCAGTGTGTGCACACTTGAGCACATGCACACACGCACACAATCCCTAGTTGCTCAAAATCAATTTTTAGCACCTCATCTTCCACCATGCGACCAGCGCACTGGTTTCATTAAAGAGGTTCTTGGCATAAGAGTTAGCTAGTGAGATCAAAATAAACACACAGACTCAGTTACCTTTTTCTATGACCAGGTCTGAGACGGCTCTCCCTCTGGCTCACACCTCGAACCACCCGGTAGGGCAGCAGGGATTACTCAGGGCTAGCAGGAGAGAGAGAGAGAGAGCAAGCCAGGGAGTAGTCTTTTATAGGGGAACAAGAAATTCAGGGGAGAATTCCATCCAATGAAGGTTGAGGGAGGCAGCACTCCAAGGTCAGGGTCAGTGATTGGCCCCCGGGGTCAGTGGTCAGACACACCCCCACATGGACAGGCTCTCGCACCAGGAGAGGGTGGGGAAAGCTCCGACACAGTTTAGCCAGAGYGCCTCACACCCAATCCGGGAGTTGCCCAATCCCCTGTGAGAATGGCTCCCCACCCTCATCCATTGAGAAAGTTTCAGATTTTTAATAACACTCATTTTCTCCCTCCTATCTCCTCCCTCTTCCTCTTTTTGAGTTCTGTCTTTTGAAAAACATGTTTCGAAGAGAAGAAAGGAGAATTAATAAGATCAACATTGAAAGAACACATTCTTAAAAATTCCAGTGACCTAGTATTAGAGAYAGATACAGAATGAAAAACTAGTGAAATTTTGTGACTATGTACAAGGAGTCATCATTCTATTTACGTTACTATTTAAGCTTACAGACAAGACAAGAAGGAATAATATSAGAATGAAGCAGAATAAAGACGAGAAAAGCAAAAGTCTACCCAAAGGGACAGAACGGTGGCTCTGAGTGAAAAGTCAACCACCCTTTGTCCTTTGTCCTTTCCCTCCATCCTGCATCACCAATTCCTGCCTTGTTGTTGGATAGCAACACAAATACACAGCTCTGCTTTATAATCGAATTCACAGAATATTGTCTCCTGACCTTACGCCCCCCACTCTGCATTATCTCATCTCCTTTGCTCTCGTTAAAAAGAACCCTAGAGCTGGAGATGTTGCTCGGTGGTACTGCACGTCCCTAGCATGTGTGAGGCTCTGGGTTCCATCCACAGCACTACCAAAAAAAAGAAAAAAACAGACAAAATTGAAAAATGAATATATTGTCAAGTCCACACTCCCTTGGGTCCCTCCCCTTTATACTCTTACTCCAGTTCTTTCCAGGACAGCTCCTGAGTCCACGAAGACTCTTTTGAGTTCATCAGCCATGGCCGCATTGGAACTCCACTGGCCAATTCTCTGTTCTCCTCTTTTTTAGAGTAAACACATAGTTTATTGTGCCTACCAGGAGATCTTTGAGGTTAAAAAGGGCATTAAACGAATGGAACGACTTAACATTTTAAAATATCAATCTGTTGTAAAAATTTGATTTTTTTTTATTATAATAATAAGCTGGTAAAATAGTCTTATTAAGACTTTTTAAGGGCTGGGGATGTGGCTCAAGTGGTATCGAGCTTGCTTAGCATGCGTGAGACAATGGGTTCGATTCTCAGCACCATATAAAAATAAAATAAAGATATTGTGTCCACCTAAAACTAAAAAATAAAGTTTTTTTTAAAAAAATACTTTTTATAAGATTTTTTTTCTAAAAATATACATCTTTTATTGAGGTAAAATAAAATTTTACCTATKACTCCTTAAGCATTATTTTAGGATATAAATATATTAGTATTTTTAGATAATTGGCCACCTCATCATCAAAAATAGCAGAATAATCATTTCTGGTACACAGTCACA